TCGGCCAAGGAAGGTCGGACGTCGGCTAGGGGTCGAATGCAGAGAGGAGTTCGGGAGGAGGCTACAGGGACTTGATGGAAGAAAGCAAGGTTCGTCGGCTCTCTGGTTTGGATCGGGCAGAACAACGACAAGAGGAGGTCGGGAGGTTGGATGTCGGGCAGAGGGAGTTGCGAATGGGAGAGGGAGGAGCTCGGGATCGGCATAAGTAAGCAACAACCGAAGACTCCATTTGCCTTGGTATTTAACAACAATCGGGATCGTTCTGCGAGGCAGGTCGCGGGATTTAGGCAGGATTTTCAGATCGAGACATGAGCGGCGCTGAGCTACAGGATTTTGCCGGATTTTTGGGCAGAACCTCGGCGAGATTTCGGCGGGTTTTGCGGCTGGATTCGATGATCCGATGGTTTTGAGGTGTGAGCAGACGGCATTGTATAACAGGTGTGTGAATTTTTTTGTTGTCTTTTGGATAATGCATAGAGGTCAACATCAACTGAGGTTGTGCACACAAATCAAGGCGGTTCCAAATTGACTTCACGTATTTCAAGAACAAATAGTCTCGACGTCGCCCAAACGACGTTCGATCGTGAAACGGATTGCGTCGTTACGATCTGAACATCGACGACACCTAAAATACCAATTTGTCTAAATAAATTTCACGGTGAAATCTACACGTCAAAGGAGGTAAAATGTACGCGAATCGAGAGAACACGTAAATCAAAATTATTTCGGATTTTTTGGAAAATGGTGATCATCCTAATTTCATGTTATTACTAATTATAGCAAGTCATTATTAACGTTCCCTATGAGTTTAAGCAATAAATAGAAAGTCAAATAAATTTTCAAATCACATTAATTTGCAAATCTCGTTCCTGCCAAAATCCTTCTCAGCTCAGAGATCCCGTAAATCGTGTTACTGTAGCCGCTCCTATCTTCTCCCGTCAGCTCCATCATGAGATTTTTCCTCGATCTAGCTTTCTGTCCGTCGTTCAGAAGAGGTTAAACATAACTCGTTGGTTTCTTCGGCGACAGATACGAGTCTCGTCTCTATTTTCTCGGTCTGAAGACTCCTGCTTTCCTCTGATCTGCTTACAGAAATCTCAAGCCAACCTCTTGCATGTGAATCTTCCGCCAAACCTCATGCAAGCCCACGCCCAGCTTCAGCATACCTGCAATTCACCAAATGCTTCATGCAACTTTCTATCTTTCTGCTCAAAGTAATGATAAGAAAGGAGTAAATCTCTCCTGTGCTTCGCCAGCATCTGCCGCAGTATGCACAATCCTTGAGCGCCGGTCCATGGTCCAAGCTGTTGACATCTACAGAAGAAATCCAAGAGGAGCAAGAGCTTCGTCAAGGCCCTTCAGGAAATGAAGAACCTGAGGCCTCAACTATATTCTGCTGCTGACTACTGTGAAAAGTCTTAGCTACACCACGAACAGAAACAAATGGTGCTAGATGATTGGAAAGACCATGCTGTTCGAGCCCTAGTCAACGTTGTTGATCACTTGGGAACTGTTGCTCATAAATTAACAGACTTGTATGATCAACAAACAACTTATATGTCAACCGTGGATCTCAATATTTCATGTCTAAATCAGTACATGCTTACATGCCAAAATTATATGGAAAAAGAAGGCATTAGGCAGAAGCAAATATCAGGAAGAGCTCCAAGGCATCACAAACATTACATTTTATCAAGCTCCCGTCCTCAGCAGCGCATGTCCATCTCCACCTCTCCGCTTCCACTGTACCGTTCTTCCTCACCCATCAAACCCAACCAGGCGCCTCCTTGCTTACAACCTCCAGCTAAAGCAACTCTTCCCGCGCTTCTTTCACAACAGCAGAACTGAGACTCTCACAAGCTTTCTCTGCGGGTTCCATACTTGAACCCTCAAGCCAAAATTATGATCCCAACATCTCATTTGAGCATCCCGTTCAAGTCTCAGGTTATAGCCGAATCAGGCGCACAAATCTTTGTTCAACACATCAACCCATACGATCCCAACCTGTTGCTGCTTCCCTCTTCCCGCAGTTTTCATCTGGTGCAAGTCACCATCCTTCTTGTCAATAGAAAGATCATCGGCTTAGAGGTGCTTCTAGAGCTGCTCATGAACCTCCAATTCATTGGTGAACTCTACAAAAACTAGCCTTTTCACATGTTATTCATGCATAGAAATGAGGCACAAAATCAGAAATTGCAGAATGTTCTTTTCAAGCAACTGCATGGAGATGAAGATCTACAAGCAAGGAGATCACTTGCTGTTCTTTGTAACCTTCAGCGAAGAAAAGTGTGGTTTGATGAGCGCACATCTAATGCCATATGCAATGCATGCTTTCGCAGTTCTTCTAAGGTTATGCTAGCTGCTCTTTCTTTCCTTCTTGGTTCTGAACACATTGAAGATGAAGCTGACTACAGTGAAGTCTCAAGTATTGATGACGATGAAATTAGTCAGAATCCACAAGTTGTTTTAGCAGGTTGGTTGGAATGATGAAGAGAAAGGAGGAAGCAAGTTGGCATGTAAGAATGCTGACCGAGGAGATTCGAAAATCCCATGATCGGCATACTATCCTCTACACAACTTTAGTGGAGCTTTAAAAAAAAAAAAAAAAACTTGGGGCTGCAGAATTGTGTGTATGGATGCCGGATAAAGCTAAGAAGGTGATGGACTTGACCCATGAGTTGAGGCAGAGGCATTCAATGAAGTTGGTGTTTGAGCACTCTATTCCCATTACTAATCAGTATGTTGTTGAGGTTAAAGAATCAAAGGGTGTAATAATGCTCATTCCTGATTCTTTTCTTGCATTGGCAAGCAATGGGGGAAATCCTGAACTTGGGCCAATTGCTGTAATTAGGATGCCAATGTTGAAGGTGTCCAATTTTAAAGTATTGAAGGAGTCACAATTAATGAGGGATAAATTAGCTGAGCAGAGTAGAGCTTTACTGTACGAGAGGCAAAATGCCTTTAGGGAAAGTGAAGTAAGAAACTACTTCCAAAGGGTCATGAGCCAGGGAATTAGAAGGCCAGACACTACATTTTGGGTTTATCATTTATGATGTGTTTTTTGGTGCAACATATGTAAAATGAAATAAGAAAGTCTAAAAAATAAAAAAAAAGAAAGAAGGAAAGAAAAAAAAAAGTATTTTTGAACATTTTATAACTCATGCATTCATGTGAATTTTCCCTCGCCGTCACCATCGTCGTCACCAAAGGAATGACCTCTCCAAACATAAAACTTCGAGAGCTCAATTTCGATGCTTGTAGCGCGACTAAATGATCACCTATACACGCTTTTTTTTAGTGTGGTGGGATGAAGTTCGTCCCGATGCTCTCTACTAAATAGGTAATCACCTAAAATCCTTTTTTTGTGTTTATGGTGCACCGGAAAACCGTCCATACACGTTTTTCTTAGCATGGTGGGATGGGAACTCGGTGTGACGCATACGACGAAGTGGGGATGCATGTGTTCGCTCGCGGGGAAATAACTTCCTTTTCAAACAGGTGTTGTAGAAGACCCATACATACTTTTCTTAGCGTAGTAGGGGACGAAGAAAATACGGCGCGGTGTCCGAGTACACCTATCATACACGCTTTTTTTAGCGTGGTGGGAATTCCCAGTTTGCCGTAGTTTCCCATAAGCAGGGGAGAAGCTTTCAAAATTCTGTTTAAAGCATAAAGGACTTGAACAATATTTGGACAGCAGGGAACTCTGGACTTGAACTCGAATTTGAGAAAATACAAAGCAATTTAATTCAATTTAAACTTTGATCGAACTTGCAAATATTGGACTGAGATCAAGCTCAAATGATAGACAAAGACTTTTGAACATATGTAAAGTGTAATTGAAATGAGAACTTTAACATTAAATGAACCATGATTTGAGAGATTTGAGCTAAATCTAAACCATAGTGGACTGAACTTGAATTTGACATGGAACAAGTAAAGTGAACTCAAACCCAAACTTGAACTTGAACTTGTAAGCTTGAACATGGACTTGAATTTGAAACAAATGATAACAAGTCGAACTAGAACTTAAGTTGTACCATAGAGGACTTGAGCTTAAATGAACTATAAAGAGATGAATCCATAATAACATAGAGCTTGAAATGAGCAAACTTAAATGGATTTGAACTTGATATTGGACAAGTGAATGACCAAATGAAAATTGACTTTGATTTAGACTACTATGAATTGAACTTGGACTCAAACTTATACAGAGAATAGAACTTGATTCATATACAAAGGGATGCGAACTATAAGTTGCTTTCAAGAATATTTTTGTGGTCAATATTAAATCAATGTCATACATTAAGTCTTGCAAATAAAGGTGATTAAGATGCAACAAATACAAGCACCTATGAGCCCTTTTCATAAGGATATTACATTATCCTTGTAGTCGACACCAAGGTACAAGCAAGTACACTAATCTTCATGCAAGCAAGGATAAAAGATCATAATAAAATACAGATACCCATTAGTAAGGATATAAAATTTGATTGCAAATATAGTAATCTCCCTACAAGCAGGAGGGGTCAATGCGCAATGAACATGATGAGCTAACGCTTATGCGATGCATGTAATATAGTCCAAAGAAACAAGTTTCAATAAATGCAGACACTGGAAAGCAATGAAAAAAGATTGTGAGCATACCTTAAGAAGATCAACCAACAATAGTTTACAAATGAGCGCGTTAATATACTTGCAAGCAGTGATGCTAGAAATGTTGCAGGACTGCAACGAATGCAAGTTCTTATAGGCTGTTCTCAAAGATTCTTCGTAGGTATAACTAGAGACAAAGGGAGTAGGCATGTGATGAATATAAGCATTCATAAGCTATCGTAGCAGAAGGCAATGGACGCTATGACGTCTTTATGATAAGTCACTATTCAAGGTTGAACAAATATATTGATCAATTACAATAGACACAAGTCCCTACGGGTTATCGTAGAAAACTTTTCAAATGTCTAAAATACCTCCACATATACACCGTAATTTGTATACACATACTTACACATAAGGGGATGTACAATAAACCCGCATAGGCCCTGACGAGCATGTTATGTGTACACATGTGACATCTAGAGATAAAAAAAGTGACGTCTAGGGATGCTGCGTTGGTCAATAAATGAACATAGTTCGAGCCTGATCCTTCTATATATATAGATAGGAGTTAACACAACACGAATTATCAAATAAGTATACAGTCAGGGTGTCGATTGAAATATCTATTTTATATGTCCATATAAGGCCTTCAAGGCCTCTAACAAAGAAAATCCATCAATAAAGGCATAAAGCCTATAAAACCTGATCCATTGTCGATAACTTGATAGAGTCGACAAGATTCAATCCACAAATGGAAATGACCCTCAAGATCACCTCGATGATGATCGTGTTGAATGTAAATTTTAACCAGAGGGGTTAATTTCAATTATTTTAAATGAATTCCAAGCTCCACCCAAATGCCCAAAAAAACTTCAAAAATCCAAAAGTCTCAAAAATAATTCAAATCCAGATATTTAAAACTGAAATGCAACCATTCAAACTACTTAAAGAAAAAATCGTTCACACCCCGCAATAGTTTTCCATGATGGACAAATTGATGTTTTACATCAACTCACATAGAGCGAATGTCTAGTCAAAAATATTACTAGAATTTATTCTCAAATAGTCTCCTACTAGTGAGTATGTGGTACGTGTCCTCTGAACGATGGTTTTGTCAATAAATGACACCATATGATAAATGATTATGATCCGGGACCATCTGAACCGAGTGATTTTGTCGCCAAATGAAACCACGAAATACCGGTTATGGCTAGAGCTAATACGTTTCTTAGTGTCATCAAATCCTTGAGATATGAATAAATATGATATAATCGATATGGCACAAAGCTTTTTGCTAGCTAAGGTGGATTCAAATTTATCCCCTTAGATAAACTTTCACCTTGGACGAAGGTACCCTTGGACGAAGCAACCTATGGCTGTCGACAAGGATCCTTTTGTTAGGTTGAGTCAATTACCTCCTTTGACTAAGTAGATCAAGGACCACGATGGCTTGGGACGACAGAACCATGGGATCTTGATCAGGTCCATCATCTATTCCCCCATCATCCGCTTCAAGTGCAATATTGTGAAATTTCTAATTTTAAATATCAAATCTTCTAACCTTCCAATTTCCATATTTATAAGCCTATGCTGCTACTATATGCCTGATACTATGTATCTGTGAATATAATGTATCTAATATATAACTAGCCTTAATCGAAAGTTATCTCTCGTGATCGGAAGGGGTAATTAATTATAGGGGTTTATGCCTATAGGAAACTAAAACTCAGATCATAAAGTCTTCGCAAAATGAGGGCGAAATCTCTAGGTATTGTCTCATCTACAAACCTCAAATACCTTCCAAAATTTACCTTGGAAGTTAATCCATTAATACTTCCTCCTGAAAAAGAAAAGCAAGTGGGTGGAGGTCGGGGCCAAATTTTTGGAGCCCACAGATTTCTGACAACTCCGCTAGGGTTTGATTTCTCTTTCCATCTTTGACTAATCGTCTAAATCCTATAGTAGAAAGAAAAAAAATATAATGCTAATTCTTAGCTCGATATGGTGAATATCAGGATGTGGAACTTGGTCCTTATGTCCAAAAAGTTGTTACTAAAAGGCCCTGATAGAGAAAAAATAACCATATATTATAATGGTAAAACAAAGAAAGAATTAAGATATGTACGGTGAGCATCGTGGTGTGAAACTTAGACACATATCTAAGAATCCACCGTTGAAAGGTCCCGACATAAGGGAAAATAAATATGGAGACCAACATCTCTAAAAAATTATGCAAAATAATGGTGTGA